TTTTCCTCTTGTTCTCTTCAATGGTCAAAAGTCTCCCTGCCCTAGAAAGTACACCCACTTACTGACTCAACTGACATCATTTAATAGTTCAAGTGAAACTGCAAGAAGTACCCGCGCTATTTCTTAGTGCTCTCTCCACTTTAGACCCCTCTAAGTTACCTTTTTTCTTCCTCCTGCACCCTTTTTTCCGTCTCAGTCCCTCCTCTTCCTCAGTGATGGTGAACAGTGCCGGGATGGCTGAACGGCTGCCTCCCTTCCTCAGCTTCCGCTTGCCCCGCGAGCACCCATCTCCTCCTCCACCTCCTCCTTGTCCTCGTCCTTTACTTTCTGGCATCTCTTGCCCTGTTGCTAACCCTCGAGCCCCCTGCTAACTCACCCAGCCCCTGCCCATCCCACCCTGCACAGTAAGGTGGGGAGGCGTGGACGGAGGTGAGTGGTGGACGCCAGAGGATGGAGATAAGACGGGGTGACCCCTAAAAGCTTTCTTCTCAAGGAAGACGAGGATAGCTAACAGCTGAAGCTAACGGCTAACGCCACTGGCTGCACATTGCTGCTCTGTGTGTGAGACAGCAGAAAGGAGAGGGGGGGATGAGAGGAAGAGGAGGAGGAGGAGGAGGCTGACAGAACAACAAGAGCAGGTGAGATGGAAAAAAAAAAATCTGATTATAAAATGTTGTGGAATAGATGAGAGGAAAAGGAAGACAGGTCTGAAAGAAAGTGCAGAGAAATGATGAGTACGGAGGGAAGGTGAAAGAGCTGCTCACTGCCTGCGATGGCAGTGCCAGGCAGAGAGACAGAGTGCAGCACAGTGTGAGCTCTTGTGGATTAAGTCTTCTTCTCTAAGCCACACTACAAGACTGGCTCGGATGAGAGCTGGAAAAATTGCACTTCTCTTCCTCACTCATCATGAGATGCTGCTGTCACAAGAGTTAATGTGCAGGTCCACTTTCCATCACTTCTCCCTCTCTCTCTCTCTCTATTTTGTAAATGCAAACCTGTCAGAAGAATCACATCACACAGGCACAGGCTTTGCGGCAAACAAACATACACACAGTGGCCTACAAAAACACTGGTAACACTGGGTGTCAGGGCTGTTGAAATATTCAGTGCAGATCCAGCAGTGGAATGTGAGCCGGTACCGGTAGAGGGTTTCCCTGACAACAGCAGCACATGGACCAATGACGCAGTGGCAGAGTGGGCAGGCACACTGTAATGTAATGGAAACACGCACACACGGGACGCACACATTCAAACTTAACAATGCAGTACTGGAGCTGCCTCTGTGGAAGGGGTGTGTTCTTAGAGCACATGGTATGTGTCTCCAGCTCCGCCCATTTCTCCAATTAAAGAGCCATGAGCTGCTTGACATCCCAGAGTAGTAGTACACTGAATATGGAAATCTTTCCATTCATCTCCAGCTGGCTCTTTACATAAAAAAGGACACTAATCAATCCTCTTCATACTTTTATTGCAGATTCACGGAATATATTCAGATGAGGCTCCTTTCAAATCTTATTACTATTTAACTTCAAAGAAGATGTGAAAACTCAGAGACACACATTTGAGTATGTAGTTGCCATTGAAGGTAGGGAGAAATGATGGGGCAATTAAGTTGTTACAGTTATCAGAGTGCACATCAGCGGAGGCCTGTTCAATAACAGTGCAAACATCAGCCTGAACAACCATGTGACATGCGTTTGTGCACGCTTATCTCACATGTTCAAATGCAAATACTGACAGGATTAAACAAGCAGCATGACAGCTTGAAATCATCACGCCACCAGGAAGCTGTAGCTTAAAACAGGAAGGCAACAAAAGGACTAAAGACACCTTGAATGAAACCCATTACAGAGGAATACTTGCTGTGTTAGTTTAACATTAAGATCATTTTTTGCAAAGAAATGACACTATAAAGACATTTTTTGTGCACAGTATTCACTATGAAAACATCCAATTCAAAATGTCTTCATCTATTTATCATGTAAAGGAATTCAGAACAAAACTTGCTGCTTAATCTCCTCAGGGGACACATGTGCTGATCATGAAAGAGCAATCTGATCTGTAGAATAGTGTGATGTTGTAATCCTACACTCAGACTGGAACAGAATGGGCTGGGCTACACACCCTTCCTACTACACCTATTGACTATAGAGAGACAAACAGGAGAACAGATGAAGAATTTTGACAGGTAGTCCTACATTTAAAAAAAGGAAGGTTACACACACACATTTACTTTTTATTCTCTTAGCAACTTCTGTTGATACTACACTTTCAGGTTTAAGTGAAAGGAGCATATTGACACATGCACACAGGCTTTATATTCAAATATACTCATTTAAGACATTTTACAAATGTAATACTTGTCTTAACTTGCTGCTCAGAACATATGATTATTCACCACTGTCAACAAAAACATTTATACAAATATTATTTACCACTTGCCAATTTTGAAGATTTACAGATGCTAATCAGTTTATCTCAATGAAGCAATAGCTTAAAACTTGCTCTTAAATGTGGTCCTATGCTGGGATATGATGTGACAGTTTACTAAGTTACAAATGTAGCTTTATGACTTATAGGTCTAGTATAATATCGATATGTAGCCAAAACACAAACTTCAACGGAACAACCGGCATTCTATGTTTTTTCTGATTTCCACAATACCTTAACACAAGGAAATCCTGCGACCAAAAGAATACTGACAAGGTTACCAAACAGAAAGGACTATCCAGACGATAAAAAAATATTATCTTGCCATCTCACAATGGCAAGATGATGATAAGTAGATGTGTGAAATCTGTCTGTCATTCAAATAAGTGACATTTTATGAAGCCTTAAATAAAGGGTACAGACAATGTTACAATTCAATTCCCTTAGCAGACGCTTTTATCCAAAAGCAGCGTACATCAGAGAGACAGACAACACTAATCCTTTCATTCACCGCCACATCAGACATGTTGCTCAGCTGGGGATCGAACCCTCATCCTTCCAGTTGAGTGGCATCGACGCTACCAGCTGAGCCACAGCAGCCCCCCTCATACTTAAAGCAACAGTATGGAGCTAAACTTCCACACAACACCTGGTGTCACGAACAAACCGACATGCTTTGTCAAAAAGTAGCGAAACCAGTTCGAAGTCTTGCTGATGTTAAGAGAGATATTAGAATTTGTTTTGCCAGAGAATTTAAAAGCACAATTCAGCCAGCATTTTTTTTTTAACTCTATGTTAAAAATGTTGAAAGTGGCAGATGTAAGCAGTTATACTAGCAGCATAATTGGGAGGTTTTCTTAAAATACACTTCCATAAGTAGTACTTAAAATGCCTCTTTGTAAGTATTTTCAGCATTCTTAACCTTTAATCCCAGACTGTAAACTACAGTCTGTGTTTGTATAGCTTAACTCCCGACACCAACTTATCCTGATTAGACTAACTAAGAATGTCATACTTTGGTACATTAAATACAAGCTTATAAAATAAATAAATAAAAACATATGGAAATAGCTAAAGGGCAAGCATAACTTACACACTGAATCTGTGATCAGTCAAACCTCAATAATAGAGCCTCTTGTGGAGAAATATGTTTGAGTGGTTATTAACTAAGGCAATAAAGTTGACCAAAATATTTTAGTTTTTCACCAGCAACTCAACACATTATTGTTTCCATAAAGTTATTCAGCGGCTGGGGCTCAGTATGTACTGTAGAGTCGTCGTCTCTCAACCAAAAGGTCGAGGGTTCGATCCCCGGCTCCTGCGGCAACATGTGTCCTTGGGCAAGACACTTAACCCCCGAATCGCTCCCACTGCTAGATGGTTACTTTACACAGCGACCTCTGCCATCATTACATGGATGTGAATGTGTAGGTGTGACATGCGGTGTAAAAGCGCTTTGAGTGGTCAGAAGATTAGAAAAGCGCCATACAAGTTCAAGTCCATTTAGACCGTTCAGAAAAATAAGACGTTGCGGCTTTGCTGGCTACATCCCATCAGTGACGTCACTGAAGCTCTTCTGCCATTAGAAAAAACCTGCTGTGTCAATGCTTGTCACAGCACCGTCATTGTTTTCTAACAACAAACTTTACGCTGAGTATTCTACCCTTTTGTGATTCCGTGTTGATCTAATAAGAGGTTATAGACCTACAGAATATGGACTCTTGATTTTGGCGCCACCACTGGTGACAAGCGGATCTTTCTTTGATGGTTGCGCTTGACAGAAAATAATTAGACTGCCAACAGAACAAAAAAAAAAAAAACAGTCTAACGCCATTTTTCCATGTAGGGTTGAAATGGCATAAAACCAGACACAAGTCTACCAAAAGTTGCTTAAAAGTTTAATGCAGTGAAGGAATGAGTGGTAATTTTACTCCCTAGGTATTAGACGACTGTAATGACGAATACCAAAGATTAACAGTCTAGGTCACAGGTGCAGACGGTTATCCGCAATTTTTTTTTTATAAATTCAGGGAAATAACAAACCAGATTGAACTGTGGACAGAAAAAAACAAAAAACAAATAGGCTACTTATCGTCACCTGTCTAAGTCTGAGGAATAAGAATAACTTGTAGCCTCAAGACACATAAAAAAAGCAAGCTTCAGACCTGTGTAGGCTACATGTCCATTGATTCACCTGTCACGTCTGGAGCATTTCGACGAGTTGACGAAATGTCAGCAACAGGTGTCTGTCCCTGCACGAGGACCTCAACAGGTTTTGTTAATAACAAGAACAAAAGGTAAAAACTGAACACTCTTGCAGTTTAACACAGTTTGTGTTAAAAAAACAACGTTAAGTAACCGGTTAGGTGAGTAGGTTCGGTAATCCCACTCCCGTGACCGACCCGGCTCCTGGTAGTTCTTGAGATTTTCAGCGTCAGCGTTAAACCCACGACAACATACAGTGAACCCTCGAGGCAAAACGGTGATTAACGATTTAAATAGCCGCTCGTTCTTTAAAAAAAAAAAAAAAAAGTTTGGTTAAGTTACTTTTCTGTCGGTAAAAAACTCACCTTGGGACTCTGGAGGAGATGCGTCGCTGCCATCCTGGTCCGCCATTTCTCCTGACGTCAGCTGAAGGGGATCAACAGCAGGAGCTCGAGGGACCTGATCATGAGCCAGACCTGGCACCCTCCCACGGACAGGTAGGGGACGACACGGGCTACTAACTAATCGCATAAATACCATAAAATGATAATCCTATTTAATAATGACCGAATAACGACAGAAAACATTTTTACACACTTTGCTGGGTCATTCACACAGTCGTTGTGGTCCAAAATTCACCTTCAAATCCTTTACTGTCGGTAAGGCCAAGCGTTGTTTTCTTGCACATGGATTAAAGAGGCTGCTGAATGGTTGAACTCTTTTTGAGTTGTGCTATTTTTACTATTTAAATAGGGTTACTTTATCAACTTTGAGCAAAGGTTTGTAAGTAGGCTACATACAGGGCCTGAGGTCTGTCTGTAGTATTATGCTGACATCTATTGGCAGTAAGCGTGTATGATAGGCTTGGCTATGCTATAGTAAAATCATTGCTGTGCCATCACTTGATCTGTCAGTCAATCCTCAAACTTAGATTCACAAATGTGTCATACCAAATCTAGCATGGAAATATCTAAAAAAGTAGACCTTAAACATGATTCAAACAAATAGTCTAGGCCTACTGCCTACAAAGTGAAGTATAAATAATAGCCCATTTAAAAATTAATCTGATGAATACAAAAAAAATAACAAAAAGACAGATATGTTATAAAAGTTGTTTGATAAAAATCCTCAAAGGTCTTTCAGGATTTCAGATTGCCCTACACATCCTGTACAATTATATGCTAAATACCGATTGAAAATATTCTTAACCATTACATCTACTATAAAAAGTTTTAAATTATGCCTTATTATTCTTCAGCCAGAAACTTTTACCTGCTAAATTTAACTGCCTAAGAGAAACTAAACCAATAGTGTACTTTGTGTAAGTTTATATTTTGACCAGTAGGGGGAGACCATTCCTTACACTTAGACTATTTTTTTGACTCATCAAAACTACACTCATTACTTGTATGGGGGTTCAATCCCTTTCTCGTGTATCCATTGATACATCAATAAGAGGCTTAATTCACAAGATTCAGCTAATTGCAGAGCTGTAAATAAAATTAATGAGGCATTGTTACCGGCCTTGAATATTTCAACATGAGTAACAGAAGGTTTTTATGCATCCTTTTTGGGGCATGAATTTATTTAAATAAAAGAAACTATAATATGTCTTTTGCAATATAAATGTCATCAAGAAGGGGAGTTTCTCCTTACTATTACCTGTGAGCAGTAAACCATTTCAATGAGACAATGTGCAACATGAGACAGAAAAATCAAACACTGTTATTTGAACTAAACTAGCTATATTTGAGAAAGGGTTTAGTGTTTCTGGCTGAATTTATGCTAATCTCCCCCCTCCCCCCTTCCCCCATATCGCTGCTATTTGCCAGACTGTGCAGTCTCACCCCCCACCCAGTAAAATGGCTACTGATTGGCGCACAGAAACCTGCAACCATGGCAACCAGCTGTTTGGCAATTCCTATGATGGAGGAGGTGGAGTGAAGAAGTGTTGGCCTGCAGGTATGCACTCCCAGACTCCCAGACAAATAAACACACACATCTGGGCATCTCTATGTTGTCTAACAAGGTTGAGGCTGAAATGTGAGTAAGAATGCTGAACAGTGAACACTACTTATTCAGCACATTTAACAAAAGCCCCTCACCCACTTCCTCTTTCCCTGATAAAACCCCTCCAGACAAAGACACCCCCTGCTTCACCTCTGTAATGTAAGTGTCTGTTTTTGTGCCTCAAATCTTTGATTCATTTCTGTTTGGCTGTTTGTGTCCAACGCCTGGAGGGTTAATCATGAGGTAGGGGGTGTTTGAGCCTTAGGTTACATTAAGGGTCATGTGTGTTCGACTGTCTTCACATGATGAAAGCCTGTCTGTATTGCCTGTAATTGGATCCCAAGGGAGAGAGATGTTGAGATTCTCTCCACATAGGGATAGATCCACACAGTGTGAAGAACATATAGTGCAGCTGAAAGACAGGTAGATAGTGTAATTTCCCTTAAGATAACTGACTGATTTGAGGAGAATCAGCCTCTTCACTCATCTGTTTATTTGGATGGTTGTCTGCTTATATGTTTGCATGTTCTGGTCGCAGACTGAGAGCAAGGTCAGTAAGGTGGTCAAAAATCAGTAAGGTAGTCAGAGAAGTTTCTAGATTAAGCAGGATTGTAAAACAAACATGATCGACAATCCAGGGACAAGCGATTTTTATCTTTGATGCTTGGTTAAATATCTTTTTGTGTTGTATTAGAGAGCCGCGATAAAATAATCCACAATCAGAGTTCAGCTTAGTTACATCAATATCAACTTTATTCAAGAGTTTAAGATCTAAAAAGGAAACCACTCTGCTTTGTAGGACAAAGTAGTCATATTTTTTAACAATTTGTTGCAAGATGAGTAGAAAAATACTTCAGAACTGTCTTGAAAAATTATGTGATGTACTTCCACGCTCCAAACAAGAGTGTATAGAATAAATAGATAAAAGTTGCTCTTGCTTTTGCACAACCATTTCCCCAATTTTTCGCCCCACACTTGATAAAAGGAAAAATGAGAATGCATTTTTAGGACCTCAAACCTCTGATGGAGGAGAATCTGTTTGATTGCGGTGAGAATGCCACGTCATTTGAATTTAAAAATGAAAATATTTCTTTTGTGTTATGACTGATTACAGTGCATTCCCTGTAACTTACCTGTTATTGCAATATTTCTCACAGAAATCTATTGCAGCTTGGCAGCTAATTATTTGGTGCTGAACAAGTGTAGGAAATCCCAAGGGTAAGGAGGACACAATGCATAGGCTGCAAAAATTCATCTCTCACCCGCTTGCTGAGACATGCTGCTGTGTTGATGATAGTAACACATTTGCACCTACAAAACACGTGTCTCACCAACACGCATAAACAGATGTCAGTGTGGTGGTGATAGATGTTCACAGCTTAGCTGCAAATTTTCACAACTTGCATCATCTGTCTCTTACATATTGTGCCTCACAAAAAATGAATGTGATTGATTTTTCATTAATTTAGTTCATCAGATACACTCATGATGAAACTCTAGTTATAAAGGATGAAACACAATATGTTGTGCTGCTGCTGTTTTACAACCCTCGTACTGTTACAGCGCTGTATTTTCATAAATGAAAGTAGCTTAATAACTGTTAATGCGCTAACTGCTCCACACAGTTCAGTTTAAACTGCAACCTCAACTTGTTTTTCACTTCACATCCTCCTTCATTTTTTCACTTTTTCTTTAAGACTGGCTCTGTCTGGCTCTTTGTCTCCTTCCCTACTTCTGTCTCGGTCGCCCTGCGTCTTTATCCTCATGTTACCTTTTTAGGGTGCAGACAGACAGGACCATTTCTCCATAGCAACAAAGCCCTCATTTCATTGGTTTGAAGTGGGACACATGTCTTTTGCTTTGTTGTTTATTTTACTGATCAAAAGACAATAAGAAGTGGATATAGGTCATGCTGTGACGGGATAAGCTCTTAATGGGCTGCTATTTATATTTCAAATAAGGGATCAAACAAGAATAAATCTTAAAAATTGTATGCAGTTTTAACTTGTTTATCTCCTGTTAACATATTCCTGTTGTTGTTTGTACACATGTTATGGTGGCATAATGCTAATAGCCCTTTAATTATCTGTCTCTACATAATTCACTAGAACCAGATGGCGCAAAGGAGAATGATCTGAACTCACCCCCTGCAGATAGACAGATCCCCCCCATGTTGGCTAAATAGACTTGCCCTGCCTTAAGCTTACACACACACACACACACACACACACACACACACACACACACACACACACACACACACACACAGTCAGCTGTCCACTGCATGCTGTATTTAGGTATGAGATCATATACAGCTGACCAATCTCGTTCCTCTTGGTAAACAAAGAAAGAGCCAATCACAAGAAAGAAAACAAACGTCAAAAACAAGAAGCCTGCACACAAGCAGACATATGGCTATTGTGACCCAAGTAAATAGTGCTATTAATTCTAAATCCATGCTGTTAATCCTTTGGGTGGTAGCAGTGGTATTGTCTACACAGTATTTAAAACAGAAGTGTTTACTGTCTGATAACCAGGCATGTATTGTGTTGAAGGCCTGAGAGCTGATGAAACAAAATGCATTAAAAACACAACATCTACAAGAGGCTTTGAATGCATCCATGCTGGATATTATCAACTCCCGGTCTGCTCTAAGGATTGCAGCTGACTGAATTAACAGTAATGAGCACTAATTGTGTATATAATAATGTTTGACATCTTTTATAGGAGAAATGTTATTATTTATGCATATCCATATAATAACCCAACTAAAGAGGTTTGGTCATGTGTTCTTTCCTGAAAATGTATAAATGATTCAGGATCATTATGTTTAATTCCTTACTTAAAACTAAATAGTAAATTATTTAACTGTGGTAGAAGGTAACTAAGTCAATTAATTACATTTTATGTAGTTTTGAGGTTCTTATACATCAATCAGTTCATCAATCTTTATTTGCATAGTGCCAATTCACAAACAAATGTTATCTTAAGACACTTGACAAAAAGAGCAGGCCTAGACTGCACTCTTTATTCTATTATTTACAGAGATCACCATTTATCCAACATTAAGCAAAGTAGCCGTAGTAAGGGACCAAACGTTCATTTTAACAGGCAGAAAACCTTGAGAAGAACCACACGAGTATTTTCAAATTACATTGTTTTATATTTCATCTACACAAGATCCAAACAAACAAAAATGTAGCATTCACTCTGTCATAGGGATCATTTTTCTGCGTAACAAACTATAGCGACTTTAACTGGTAGAGTTAGAGATTATGTGAGTAATGCTTGCCTACTTCTAAATAAGGAAGAATTTCAATGAAGAGCTCTTACTTTTAATGGAGTGTTTTGCCTTGCTGTGTTGGTGAGTTTACACAGGTTAGAATTTACATTCTTGTCTACACAGTGAGTATTCTCCTCTTGAGTCCTAACACTCTTCCATCGACGTCGGTA